TGAACCTTCCTCCTTCCAAAACGATGAAAGGATACATATGCAAATTAAGTCTATAAACATTCCTGAGCCTCTAATTGTTCCTCAAGGCAGAGATGTAAAATAATCTCTAAAATGATCTTTGGTTATATGAGCATATTAATAAATGAATTAAAAAGCATACAATAAGTTTTTGGTTGTTTTTTTTTATTGTGTGCCAGGAACTGTGCTAATGTTAGGGTAGAGCCCTGATATATTCATTAGGTGAAAACACATCTCAATCAATCAATTATTCAATGAACAACATTAGATTGAATGTGAAAAGTCCTTGAAAACTAAAGGATGAACTAGAGTAGTTTTTCACAGGAAATCTGTCAGAACTGGGTGAGAGACTTGGTCATACCATATGGAACTTACATAAAATAAAAAAGCTATCTCAGAACCAGGGAGAGATTTTAAGGAGTTGGTTATAGAGAGGAAGAAGTGGGAACATCAAGGACTGAAATGGAAAGAATTAGAAGCACAGAGGCAAACAGGCAAAAGAAAAAAGAGAAAGTAAGACTGGGCTGGCTAAGAAAGAAAAAGTAAAGGAGGGCCATCAGCCCTATAGATATTTCAGAAAAGACTCAGGGTGATGGCATCAGTTTTACTGACCTCCTCAAGGAAAGAGGTAAGTGCCAAGAAAAGTTCTGCTCTTACCTCATCTTCTCCCAATACTGGTCTATTAACAGACAATGAAATATACTTTGCTTGCTTCTTTATCCAATTGATTTTAGTAACCTTAATCTTGACTCAACTCCAAAGAAATCAGGAGTTAGCAAGCAATAAATATAAATGTAAATTAAGACAGAGAGGTAAACCACTGTCTAAATGTTAGGTAGGAGTTTACTTTTTTCTAACTGGGGGCTCAGAGCAATTGTGATTGTACTTCCAACTTTTTTTATTTATCATAAACTCCCTAAAACAGCAGAAGAGGGAACCACATGTACTTATGGGGCAATTAAATTTCCTCTAGTCTTAAAATAAACTAATTGTTATAACAGGATATTGTACTATCATCTTCCTAATCATGAGTTTTATCTCTGTTCTATTCCTATGTGTGTCTAATCAATTGTACTACCTCCATCCAGGTCAATACTGAATAGGATGATACAGAGAGGGAGAATTTGCCTTAGGGTATATATCTGTGATGTAATTGTGACTGAGGAGGCCCATTATGTTAATACAAATTCTCTGAAATCATTTTAAACTCCAGTACTCATGTCAGACATTTCTCACTATATTCTGAAGTATATTGTACTCTAAGGCAGTATGCAGGATAGTCATGCTGACAAAATGCAAAGTAGTGATATTGACCTTAAAAGCTCTTCTTGACTGGCCTAAAAACTTCGGATATAAGATCATCCAATTCTCTTCTTTTTAATTTCTTTCAAAACATGAAGGCTGTTCTGTCCTGGGCTCTCTTGGAAAAAGGCAAATTGAACCATTACCTTGGCTCAGATAAAATAATTCAGCAGCTTCTGTGGCCAGAAATTGGCCACTGAGAAGGCCTTTTTTTTTTTCCAGCAAATGCATCTGTTTGTGCCACCTCTGGAATCTTCTGATTTCTATTGCCTAGGCATTCTGATCACCAATATTCTGAGAATCATATTCATCCTTGGTTTTATGAGCAAATGATATGCAGCATGATATTTATGCTAGTTACTAGTGTTTTACAGGTATCTAGGGAAGTGTCTTTGGTAGTTCAGAAACATAATGCACGGGCCAATCAATTAAGGTAGTCTCAAAGCCATAGTGAATCTCTAAATAACATTAGAAAACTTTACTACTGTCACATGTGCCATAACCATGAACTTTATGGGTGAATTAGAAATTTGAAAGTCAAAATCCAAGGAATACTTTTTTTTTCATACTTCACAAATTTCAATTTAAGTGTCATAGAAAAACAGGATTGCTGTTCATTCACTAACCTGGCTAACTCGGAGAGGGTGTAAGACTGAATGCTGGGAAAATCTGATACAATGAATGATTAGAACCTTGGGATTGGGATATTTTGAATTTGATGTGCCTATACATATAGAGGCACATCTATAGATACACATTTCTATATGTATGTGCATATATGTATATGCATGTCTATGTGTATGCATGTATGTGTACATGTATGTATATGTGAATGTATATGTGTGTGTGTATACACACACACACACACACATATATCCCTGTGCCCCATTGGAGGGAGGGGGATGCTACATAAAGAAGAACTTGGGAAAGTTGGCAATTCTCCTATATATCTGAACATAGGCATGATGGACTCTTTTCAGCAGTTTAAAAAAAGAGAGAGAGCGATCTCAATATTCAGCTGGGAAATCCCTAAGGCTCAATGTAAATAGAATCATTTGTAATCAATATAGGTGAAATGCTGCTCATGACAATTCTAGTCAAGAAATTTTGTGTGATGAGAACTATTTTCAGTTTGATCTGTGGGAGGTATGTCATTGGTTTTTCTTTTGTGGGTTTATCCCTGGGAGTCCAGGCCTCTCTGGTTCCTGCCCAATCAGGCCTTTTCTGAATCCATACAAAGAAGAAACTGGATAGCCACTGGGTTTCTTTTTTATCTTTCTCTAATACCTCTTTCTGAAATCTTTTCATGGCTTCATGCTATATCCAGATAGAAGGTCACTGTTCTGATGGTCTCTGGTCACCCACCTATGCCCCCAAAGCTACTACCCATACCTTCCTTCTTTTCTTTCATATGCCTTGGCCACTCAGATTGTGGAGGTTTGGTGTACTTTTATCCAGGGACTTACTCACCAGAAAAGAGATAATTCATCTCTTGAAACAACTAACTCTTTTCCAAGTGTCACCTCCTTTAATAGTCCTTTCCTGATTCCTTCAGTTATTAGTGACTCCTACCCCAGTACAAATTCCTAAATCAGTTGTGGATTTATTTTGTATATTTCTTGTATATGCTATAGTATCTGTGAACATGTCAATAAAGTATTGGAGAGCAGAGATTTTCTCACTTTTGTTATATGCAATCCCAATACCTAGCCCAATGCCTAGCAAATGGTAAGTGCTTAATAAATGCTTGTTGATTGATTAATTGGTTAGTTGATTAGTTGGTTGACTAAATGGGTTGGAGTTACAGAGAATTGTTAAGGGTTATTTAAAGGGTCCTCTGAACTTTTTTTTTTGAGTTGTCATATTTTCCAGAAATGCTGGACCCAGGGTATATAGGAGGTTCTGAATGTATCAAGGATGAAGCTTTTGTTGAGTTGACATAATTTGTTGTTGTACTCCAAGCCTGACTCCCTGTGTGTCCTTAAGAGGCAAGACAGGCACCAGCCAGTCTGTGCCAGGCTGGGATAATGCTTGTGCAGCTGGGGTCCTTTGCAGATAAGCAGACCCTCCTATCTTCATAGTCTAGCAGTTTCCAAGGGAAAAGAATGTGGCTTTTGCCATTGCCTTGCTCCTCCCCTTTGGGATGGGTTACTGAACTTTTCCCCTCCTATGCCATGCCCCTTCCTATTTTCTCCTCCTCCTTTTGTTGTACTATCATAAATATATAAACTTCTGTAAAGACTGTGAATCTTTGAGTTCCACTTGAATGTTCATTTCTCTTGTAATAAACCTGGTTTTCACATAAGTCTCATGACATTGTGATTTCCTATTGACAGAGTGACAGTGCTTTTTACTTCAATAAGGGGAAAAAACTTCCTAAGAATTAGAGCTATTCAAAAGTAGAATGGTCTGTCTTTAGCAGTAGGGGACTCCTTTCAGCAGAAGTTTTCAAGCAAAGATTAGGCAATTAGACTATTGTCTCAAATTTATACTGCATATATCTTATATTTACATAACTGTTTGTATGTTGTCTCTCCTACTAGAATGTTAACTCCTTGAGAGCAAGAAATGTCTTTACCTTTCTTTATACTCCTAGGGTTTGGCCCAGTGTCTCACGTGGAACATTAATAAAAGTTTTGTTGACTGATTGACTTTCATTTCAAAGGGAATCATTATTAATGCACAGGTTGGACAAGATATGATCTGGGGTTTCTTCTATTGATAGTATATACAGAAGTACAGGTAACCAAAAAGTATTAAAAAAAAAAAAAGACTGCTAGCTTCCATCACATACTAATCTATTCTAACTTTAGTTCAGTAACCCTCTTTTCAGAATGATCCTCAGCACAATGCAGGCATTTTTTAACCTAAAACTTGGAGCACAAACTGTGAGGTCTTTTCATCCTCCATTCCCTTATCTTATGTCCATTCCCCCATCAAGGATCTTTATGGTTCTAGATAAAGATGATGATGCTAAAATATAGTTTCCTTAAGGGAAAGGACTATTCATGGTACATAGCAAATTGTTATTCAGTCATTTTTAGTACTGACCGACTCTGTGTGACCTAATTTGGGGTTTTCTTGGCAGAAATACTGGGGTGATTTGTCATTTTTTTCTCCAGCTTATTTTACAGATGAAGAAACTGAGGCAAACAGGGTTAAGTGACTTTCCCAAGGTCACACAGCTATTAAGTATCATATTTGAACTCAGGAAGATGAGTCTTCCTGACTCCAGGCCTGGTGTTCTATCCACTGCACCACTTAGCTATGTTTTTGTTCATTCATTCATTCACTTACTCTATCATTCATTCTCTAATTCATTCATTCATTTTTAAACACAGCAAGAACATAGAAAATAGAGTTAATTGGAAGTACAGTGTCATATAATAGAACTATGGCTAATGGCAAGCAATTAATTTATGAATGTATTAGACAGTTGCAGAAGCTTCAGTAGTTACAACTAAATAGACAAAAAGGAACACATGATTTCTCATCCAGAGTTCCAGAGTCCCATTGCTCATGCTCAGTTCTGTCCCTGCAACTCCAGCACTGAGGCAGAGTCATTCTCAAACACCATGGAGGGTTTGACAAATCTAAAACTGGCAGCTGCAGGGACATATGTGTCTTAGCATCTGTGTCTCTCCCAATCTCTGTTACCTTTAACACAATTTTACCTTCTGCTTCTGATGTCACCTCCCTCTGCCTGCTGTTCTCCAGACATTACATCTTGGAAGAGAAACTGGTGGAAGAAACTACATCAGAATGTAAGAGTCCTAGAAAAAAAGACATTAATTTTCCTTTTGATTTACCTATCCAAAACACTCTTCCCTCTGTACCTCATCCCTATGTGTTTTGCCCCAAATTAGCAACAGTGCTTGGACCATAGCAATCATTTAACACATGCTTTTTCATCCATTTCAGCCATTCTCTTTTCCTGTAGTTGCTCTTCTGCTTAGCATTTAAATCCCTTAACCTTCTGGCCCCTGACTACCTTTCCAGACTTATTACACATTTCTTCTTTGTATATACACTATGGTCTAGCCAAACTGGCCTACATCTTGACCTTCAGGCATATTCTATCTTCTAGCTCTCTGCATTTGTCCTTCTTGATTGGAATATACTCGGTCCTCAACTCTATGTCTGAGAATCCTTGGCTCCCTTCTAAATTCATCACAAGCACCATCTCCTACATGAGGCTCTTTCCCAATCTCTTCAACTGTTAGTGCCTTCCTCTACGTGGATTATTTTGTGTTTACTTTGTATGTATTTTGCATATGCAAATGTTGCCTATGTAGTGAACCTGTTTTTTCACCTGACAGAAAATAAACACCTTCATAGTGGTGACTGTTTCATTTTTGTCTTTGAATCTCCAGCATCTAGCACAGTGGTTGGCTCTTAATAAATGCTTCTTGATTGATGGATTGATTGTCCATGAATCTTGTATCTCCTGTTCCCTTGACTAATTCCCCAAATGCTCTGTCCCATTTGGTTTGTCTTAAAATTGCAGCCAGCAACAGCTGTTAGATGTTGAGGCAGTACAGGAAGGAAGTCAGAAGAAGGGAAAAAGGAAGGAACTGGCTACAATGCAGCAACATTCCTTCTCCTCCCAGCGCGCTGAGCCTCTCTTTTCTCTTTCCCTACTTAGCCTGCTCTCTTCTGTTCCCTGTGGAAACTGCCCCTCCAGTTAGAAGATTTGCAAGCCTGGCTGGGTGCTCTGCATTGTGGCAGGGCTGAGGATACAGTGTGTAATGGAAGGGGGTGGAGTAGGGAGTAGTGCAGGGTCTAGTATGATTTACACAGTGGAATACTTCCTTTTGAGCAGCATTTTTTTTTCAACCTGTTCCCTGGGATTCACTGCAAGATGGTTTCATTATGTTTATCAAACGTTTGCTAGAAAACACATTGCTATAAAAATCCGATAAGTGTTTGTGACCAAATGGAATGAATAAATTGCTATAATTGTCCAAGCAGTGATATATGGAGAAACTCACCAAAGCTATCTGGGTGCAGAGGATCTTACAACCTCTTTCATCCATCAAATGTTTCCTTCTCTTAATGTCAGCAGTTGGGGTTATCAGTATCATAAACACTATGCAAAGCTTTTGGATCCTTTCTGGGGGACAGGTTGCTACCATTGACTATGTTATCAATCAGGGCATAAAGCACAGCTATAATGTTATCCTTGATTCAGAAGTTCGGTCTGGCAAATGAACTGCTGGGGAATAATGAGTCCTGAGCTTACTGTAACTATAGGCAGTATTATACTGGGATGACTACTGAGTCTTGTTAGAGAAGACATTACCTTGTATTTATGGAATTTAAAATCATTTTAAGAAAAAACTTAGGGGGGATTAATGATGTTTGAACAGATTTAAATTTACTATTATACACTAAAAGATGAAGCACCATGGTATATATAGTATTGTTGTTCAGTCACGTACAATGTTTTGTGATACTATCTGGGGTTTTCTTGGCAAATATACTGAAGTGTTTTGCCATTTCTTTCTCTAACTCATTTTTCAGATAAAGAAACTGAAGCAAACAGGCTTAAGTGATTTCCCCAAGGTCACATAAGCAGTAAATATCTGAGGCTGGATTTGAACTCAAGTTTTCCTGACTCTAAACTGATCCACTGTGCCACCTAGCTACCCCAGTGGAGGGTTTCTCAAAGTTTGGTTTGGGGACCACTGAGGGCCCTCAGGAAAATTCAAGGGATTCAAGAGGTCAAAACTATTTAAATAATAATACTACGGCATTTTAATTTCTAATATGGTGATTATCAGTAGATATAAGACCTAGCCACCTAGGTGGCACAATGGATAGAACTCTGGGAGTAGAGTTAGGAAGACCTAAGTTCAAATATGTCCCAAGTCATTTACTAGCTATGTAACCCTGGGTAAATCACTTAATCTCTGTCTCTCAGTTTCTTCAACTGTAAAATAAGAATACTAGTAGTACCTATCTTCCAGGTTGTTGTGAGGATCAAATGAGATATTTGTAAAGCACCTAGCACATAGTAGGCATTAAATATATGATAGATGTTATTATTAAATATTATTATTAACCCACATAAACAAAAGCTCTTTGAGTTCTTCAACAATTTTTAAGAGTTGTAAAGGGGGACTGAGTTCAAACAATTTGAGAACCACTGGTAGAGGAAGATCCCTCATTGGAAGTTCCCAGCCCCAATGAAATTGCTGGTCTTAACTTAAAAAAAAATCTTAAAAGATGCAAATTATAGAAGAAAGAAGATGCAAACAGCCTTAATCATTTATGAGTTTCAGGGAGGTGGGGAGCAGTGCATTACTTAATGTTTTAAAAGTATACTTTAAACATTTACATTATAGACATTCTTGCTTAACCAGACTCCTGATTATTTTATCAGGTTTTGTAAGGAAGAATTTTACTATTGCTTATAGGCTTAAACTGTTTTGGATTTTAGCTTTCAAGAATTACTGAATCGTTTTTAGAAATAGGCAAAATTAAAATGCATTTAATTTGGACCAATATTGGTTAATATCATTCCTTTATTATAATAAAGGTAAATGGGATTGATTATGGACGTGAAGTAGGGAAGAAAATTCTTGCATGGTTTCTCCCATCATATTTTATGAGTACATTACCCTCATGTATCATAATGTTCTGAAATAATCTTCTAGCACAAAGTTTTGGTATATTGAGATTAATAAATTAATAGTTAATGGACTCTCTTCGAAGCCTTCAGATAATAAATAATCCCATGAAATTGCAGTGTGTAATTTAGGCGAAGTCACTTTAAATTAATGGCAGGTAAATGGAAAACAAATAAAAGCAAATATTACTTTGCAAACAGTACCCGGTGGAATTTTTCAGGGCAGGAGGTAAGAGACTCAAATGTCACAACTGGGTTGAAGCAAATGATGATCAATTTCACATCTTCTGATCATGCTTTTCTTTATCCCTGCTCCCTCCCTTCATCACATAGATTCAGGGGAGGCTTCTGCTGCCTTCTGAAGTATGAAATAAACACTTCTGAGGCATGCAAAATAGCGTTAAAGTAAGACCCAAATATGATACTTAAGACTCCATGGATATTATTTCTTAGTGGACCTGCTCATTTTAGGCATGCTAATGATTCATTCAGATTAACTTAAAGAATCTAGAAGGGACCTTGGACATCACCTAGTCCAACCCCATAATTTTATGTTGTTGCTGTTGTTTGTCCTTTGTTCTCAAAAAGGACCAATGACATCAGGTGGGTGATGTATTGATTTGCAAGTGAATTGGATTTAAGTGAGGAAAGGCTGTGCAAAATCATCAGCCTCACTCTGTCCTCCAGAGTCATCAGAGTCTAGTGGTAAGACATAGTGAAGATGACTGGATGCAGTGGAAAACCTTGGCCTTTTTAAGATAAGGTCTTTTCCAGGTCTCAGTTTGTCTGACGCAATGCCCATTCGGTAATTAAAAGCTAGGTAAGAACTGAGGCAAAAGATGGCCTAGTTTGCCTTCATGAAAGAATCAGTCTGGAAGGGGGAGACCCTCAGAATTTCTATAAAGAAATGAAGAACCAATGAGGTGATATATACTGCTTAAAAGTCACATAACAAGTAAACTGAATAGCCAGGATTTGACTTGAATTCTTCTGATATGGTCAGCTCTCTTTATACCATCCAACCCTTGTCTTGATCCACATGGACCATTACGATTGCTGGAATAATCAGTCTTTTGGGGGCATAGTGATGCAATTAGATCCTTTATTGCTACTTTTTTGCATCTTCTAATTATGAAACATTTTACATGAGTTTGTAATGCTGCATGCCTATGCTTTCTCTATGAATTTTTACAGTTTAAGCATGAAGAGGATTCTATCAGAGGAGTTCTTTGATTAATTTGATGACCTTCCTGGAAGCTTTGATTGTTCATACCTCTCTCCAAAGAGTCGTCATTCCCTTACTTATTAAGATGATGAAGGACGATTTCCAGCTAAGTGTCAGTGACCAAGACTGACCCCAAAATGAAATGATAGATTTGAAGCTGTCCTTGGACACCAGCTTGGGAATGGTTTTCGTAACTATTCCCAAGATGGATAGGTTGATTCAGCCCCTTCAGATGATGATGTCTAGTACTGGAATTGGAGTACTTAGTTTGAAAACTGCCTCAGTTAATTGCTAGCTTTGTTACCCTAGGAAAATCCCTTAAACTCTTTTAGCCTCAGTTTCCTCATCTATAAAATGGGGATAATAATAGTGTCTAACCTCATAATGAGCTTATATATACATATGTGTGTGTGTGTGTGCATGCTAAGAGCTTTGCAAACCTCTTAGTTTTATATGAATGTTAGCTATTGTTGTTATTGTTTTGTTGTTGTTGACTTTTGAAAGGACACACCTTTTGTCCTAAACTATATAATGAAACTAGCAGACTGCTCAGGTGTTTTGGGGCTTCTTCTCAACTTTTCCCTTCTGCTTTCCTTCTTGAGAGATCTACAGTATAATAACCATTGCTTTCTCCTTTACCCCTCAAGTAGTGGGGAGGTGAGTCATTAATGGCTACTTTGGGGTATTAACACATGAGAACTGTATGTCTTTGTTCAACTCCACGTGGCCCAAAAGAATAGATACTCTTGACCTTTTGCCTCCTCCTCCATCCCTGTTCCTGCTTGTCTGAGCATGGTTCCAAGTTGAGAGAAATGACAGATGGTTTGACTTCTCAAGAGATGGCACAACATCCAGGGATCTTATGTTCACATAGGCCTCAGAGACGAACACCTAGTTGAACCTTCCCTCATTCATTTTATAGATGAGAAAACAGAGGTCCAGGGATACTAAGTGACTTATTCAATGTCATAAAGATAGGAAGCCTCAACAGTGGAATTTAAATGGAAGGAAGGAAACAAACATTTATTAAGTACCTATTATGTGCCAAGGACTTTGCTGAACACTTTAAAAATATTATCTCATTTAATCTTCACAACAACCCTGGGAGATAGGTATCACTATTATTCTCATTTTACAGTTGAGGAAATTGAGAGAGAAAGAGAGAGATTAAGTGACTTGCCCAGGGTCATATAGCTAGTAAGTATCTGAGGCCACATTTGAACTCAGGTCTTTGTGGCTTCTAGCCCAGAGCACTATCTAATGATAATAATAATAATAATAATAATAATTATTATTATTATTATTATTATTATAACTTTTATGTAATGCTTGCTATGTGGCACATACTGTGCTAAGCACTTTACAATTAATATCTCATTTGATCTTCGCAACAACCCTGAAAGGTAGGTGCTATTATTATTTCCATTTTACAGATGAGGAAACTGGGGCAAACAGAAGTGAAGTGACTTCCCCAGGGTTACATAGCTAGTAAATGTTTAAGGCCAGTTTCGAACTCTTTCTGATTCCCAGCCCAGCACACTACCCACTACTACATCTAGCCACATTCTGACTAGAAAGCCAGTGATGCTGTGCTCTTTTCACTCCTGAAGAAGCACATAAGAGCTACATGTGCTTATTTATGCTTGCTTACCCACATGTCAATGTCAACCTTGAACCCTTGCCTCCTAGACAGTATGATCCCCAGAATCTAGCCTTTTGTCCAGGTTTCCTGTACCACCTTGTGAGTAACCCCAGGTTCAACAGATAGGAGATCTAAACTTCTATCTGGACAAAGAGAACTTTCTGAATAGTACATACTTCCTAAAAAAGTAGAGTATTACCCATATTCCCCCTTTCCTTCTACCAGATATAGAATCAGTAAGACAATTAATCCTTCATCATGAAGACAAAAAAACTTTGGTTTTTGTTCTACGTTATTTGCACAAATTCTATAGACAGTACAGGACTGCTGATGATGGGTTTTTTGTTGAGTAACCCGACTGTATGTTTCCCTTCTGTCCTCAAAAGAGTCCATAGTTTCAGAAGGTCTCTTTGGGTTATAATCATTCATTCAATCAATCAATATTTATTAAGCTCCTACTATGTGCCACGCACTGTGCTAAGTGCTGGTGAGACCCAAAAAGAGGGAGAATTGGATTTCATGTTGTAAATCATGAATCCTTTGTGTTTTATTCATTTCACTGGGGTGAAATAAAAATTGTTTTGGTATTTAATATCATTGTTATCTAGACTGCTTCCCTTGGAGCCAGGGAACATGTTATCTGTATTTGGGGAGAACTAGACAGAGAAATATTTGCTTATTTTTTCTATAGCAAATTCTGGGAAGGGAATAAGAGGCCAAAGAAATATTGATCTTTTAGGGGCCTAGTTAGTGGAAACCCAAGAGTAGGAGGCCCTGGGTCAAGGGCTGCATAAATACACACATACACCCCCAAAAAATCTCACCAGGCGTTAAGCATAATATAATAATAATAAATGCATTCATTGTTAAGCTGCTTTTTCACCATAAAAAAACCCAACTATAACAAAAACCCTAATCCAACCACAATATGAAGTTGACTAATGTGGAATTTCACTTACCTTCTCTGTCTCTTTTACCTCATGGAGTATACATTGGATCTATATGATTAATAATGAAGATACTTCTTGGAATGTGGAAAGGAATCCAAAGAATGAATGATTGCAGTATCAGCATGGAAAGCCTTCTGATTAAACAAGGAATGATCCAGTGACAGGACTGCTGGTGCTTTCTGATAAATAAAGTTATCTGGGCAAAAGAAAAAAGGGCGGAATTTTATTTTTATTTTTTAAAAAAGTACCCTATGAAACTTGGAAAGTGTCCCAGTGAGACCATTTATGATGATCTGTGTTATTCTAGCTCATGAGTTTGAGCAGCAGAGAAAGGGCAGGGGAGTCAAAAACAGATGAGGAAACAATTCTAAGGTAACAAGTTTTGTAGGAAAATTCATAGCCTCTACTCTTTGTACATAATTTTCTTGCCTGCTACCTTGGCAGAGACAATAATAATTACGTGGCACCACAATTTCAAAAGAACTAACCATAAAGACTCAGAAACCAATCTTATACCAACCAGCACAGGTGGGCAAGGAAAGACAAAGACATCCTGAAAAGTCAACAAGAGTGGCACTTTATGTAACATTACAGCTGGAGGGTAGGCCATCTTCATCAAATACAATGAGGGAACCAAGGCCCAGAAAGATGAAGTGACTTACTCAAAATCACATAACTGGCTAATGACATAGCCTTGAAACCCAGTCTCCAGCTCTTTGTACTACACCAAGAGTTTCCATCCTTTTTAAGAAAGAAGATCCACCTTTTTAATGTTCAATATGCCAAAGGTTTTTTGCTTTGTTCTCTAATATTTCTACAAATTGTACAGACAGTGCAGGTCTGATGAGGAGGTTGCTTGCCCAGTACCCCAAAAGTGTCCTTCCCTTCTAACGTCAGAGAAGTCTATAGTTCCATTATTATGTGTGATCTCCATGACAAACAGCTGAAGAATTACTATCTGTGGGGTAAAAAAAAAATTTGTTGTTTAGTCATTTTCAGTTGTGTCTGACTCTTTGTGACCCCATTTGGGGTTTTCTTGGCAGAGATACTGGAGTGGTTTGCCATTTCTTTCTTCAGGTCATTTTACAGATGAGAAAACAGCAACTGGATTTAAATGACTTGCTCAGGGTTACCTAGTGGGTAAGTCTGAGAGGCCAGATTTGAACTCAGGAAGATGAGATTTCCTGTTTCCAGGCCCAGTACTCTATCCACTGTGCTACCATTAAGACAAATAGAATAGCAAAAACTGCTATGGATTCTGTAATGCTTTTAAATGAATTTGTATTTTATAAAACAACAATGATATCAGCACATATTTGAATATATATGTATATACATATATAGATCCATATGTATATACATATATAGATATACATGTATGTGTATATGTGCTAGACATATTGCCTATTTATTTTTTAGAGTCACACTGCATATTTTGTTGGAGCTAAATAAAGATCAACATGGCAATTTTTGGTACGCAGATGGATTGTAGGAACCCTTAAATTATCTCCCTGGAGTCCTTGGCCCACCGGTTGGGAACAATGCAGCATCTCCAACCCAGGGAAAAATTAGCTACTTGGTTCTCACAAGTCTCAGTGACCAAGGTCCATAGCTGAGAAGTCTCTTTTATTATTATATTAAATTATAACAGTGAGGCCATGCTATAGCAAGATTTAATTTTTATTCTTTTAAAACTGAGTTGCCTTTGGCCGTAAACAAAGTGGTCGACTATGATTATGTAGGATAAAAAAAATTACAAAGAAAGGATTTTAGAAGCTCTCTATTCTTACCCTCTAATTTTACAGATGAAGAAGCTGTTGCCAGAGGTTAATTGACTTATCTGAGGTTACACAAATAATAAATAGCAGTCATGACTGGAACCCAGGTCCTGTGACTCACAATCCACTGTGCTTTCAACCATAACACACCTTTGAAACAGGACTTGGGAGTCTCAGTGTTGACTATAGACTTGGATTGATCAGACTCTATTGATTTTTAGAAGAATCTAAACCAGTGGTCAGTAATTTTTCAAGATGTCCTTGCCAAGTTCATGACCTCTGCTCTTTCAGAATGTCGAGGCTGGGCTAAGTAAGCATTGTGACCACAGGTCAGCTCTTGAAAATAGTGAGAAGGTGACAGGCAATAACTTTTACAAGAAGTGGGGATGAGGTAGCAATGATCTGTCCATAAACCACTCAAAATTGGATCATGTCTCTTCACCATGCATAATATAACTTGTCAACTCCATTCTCAAATTGGAGTGAGTAGAATAGGGGACTCACTCTATGATGGGCTTTCAATTACTTGCTATTTTTATTTATTGAGGGAGAGAAACCTCATATGATTTTAGAACTGGAAGGGACCTGAGAGATCAGTGATTCTGACACCCTCAGTTTGTACATGAGGAAAATGAATTTCAGAGACGTTAAGTAATTTGTCCAAAGTTTTAAAGGTAGTAGTGAGCAGAGCTGGGATCAAGAAGAAAACAAAGGAAATGCTAGCTGCCTTTCCCAGAAAGGTATAAATAAAAATATCCTGGATTTCTGGGCCTTGACATTAGGAGGAGAGAAGATAATTTTCTTCACCCTTGGGCGAAATTTTGAAACAGGTAGAATTCATTTTTTACATACTCCCATTTTCTGTTTTACAGTTCTCTCCTACTTCTTACTCTTCTTGAACCGCTTAGTGGTCCCCTAATTAATTCCATCATCCTTCAAATTGGCATCTTACCCAGGCTTGCCTTATATTTCCAAATGTTTCCTGTTCCCAAATTCCCCCAATTTTGCTCCCTCAATTGAGCCTTTCTTTGCTCTGAGCAGTATTTGTCCAGAAGGAAGTAACTTTACTGCACGGGTTTCCACTACTGGGTAGATGACTGGTAACACCTTAATCATTCAGAAGTGTATTTGTTTTTCAAAAACAATGCTTCAAAACCTACATGAATTTCAAAATGGTGATGTGTTAGGGTAGCAAAAAGAAATGAAAAGAGAAAATATATGCAATTCTTTTCAAAGCAAACGAAGTATTTACTCTGTACCAGACAATGTGATGAGTATCGGTGATAGAAAGATGAATAGCAAAATAATCTCAGTCCCTGAGGAGTTTATAGTCTACATATCTATGTATGCCAATAAGTATTCCATGATACAGACTGAGGCAAAGCACAGAGCCAGGCAAATTCCTTTAGTAAAATCACAGTGGGAGAAAACATGGGAGAGAATTATAAAATACTGCACAGAGGAGGTGGCAACTGAGTTTAGCCTTGTCAGGGGAGAAAATGTTTTGTTTTGTTTTGGATTGGTTTTTTCCAGACTAAATGGAAGAAGGCATTCAGAGGTGATGATAGCACTGCTAAGTAGACCAGCTACATCTGAGAATCCTTTCTCAGGATTATCTCCTAAGCGCTCTTCCTTCTTACTGTTTCTTCCCTTCTTCTCACTCTTCCCTTCTTCTCACTCTTCCCTTCTTCTCACTCTTCCCTCTCACTCTACCCACCCATTTTCTCTAAACTCCTCTTGCTCCCCTAGTGGATCTATGGCATTGAGTTGGCAGAAACTAATTAGCTAATTAGCAGGGATGGTGACTATTCCATTTATTGCCATGTATTTGTAAGTTGTGGTCTGGCTATAACTATGATGGAAATGATTACAAAGGATATGCTGACTGAACTGTTTTTGTATGTCTAAATTCCTGTTCTGGGGCAGCTAGTGGTACAGTGGATAGAGGACCAACCCTGGAGTAAGGAAGGTACATCTTCCTGGGTTCAAATCTGGCCTCAGGCACTTACTAGCTGTGTGACCCTGGGCTTAACCCTGTTTGCCTCAGTTTCCTCATTGGGAAAATGGGCTAGAGAAGGAAATGGTAAACCACTCCAGACAAAACACAAAACAAAACAAAACCCAAATGGAGTCATGAAAAGTCAGATACAATTGAAAAATGACTGAACAACAAAAACAACAAATAGCTGTTCTAGTTTTATAAATCTATTGTTGTCCCGTTTGTGGTCACTTTAGGGGTTTAAATGAGTTAAAATGATTTGGCTCTCTCAGTAGCAGAGTGCGGGAAACTGGAATTCTGTAACATAGCTTGATTTGTTATTGGGAGGAATGCTAGAGAAGACATTATGTAAATAAATCAGGAAACATAAATAAATAGGGAAATAAAAGATAATTCAAGGACAAAGAAAGAACTAACTGGTGGTATTTAGGAATGAAGCAGTACCTGATCTCTGCCTTGAAGAAAGCTAAGAATTCTAAGAGCTAGAGATGAAAAGAAAGGGCATTCTAGGTATGGATGACAGGTTGGGAGCAGGAGATGGAATGGTTTAGGGAAATAGCAAATGATCCATGTTGGCTGAAATTTAGAGTATGTGAAGAGTTGGTAGGAATGTTTGTGCTAGATCAAATCTTTTCAAAAGCAGTACTATTTTACCTTTTTTTTTCACCGCATGAATATGACAAACTCCTTTGCCTTCCATGCCTCAGTTTCCTTACTTGTCCAACTGATCCTTCACTCAACAAGGTACTGTGCCAAGAATGAAAATATATCCCAATTAAACTAGCATGCAATGATGATTGTAGCTAGTAGCTATGTAGTGCTAATCAGCATTTTATATTTACAAGCATAACTATTCTTTGCTATTCCTCACAGCAATCTAGTGGAGGAAAAGGATATTATCAGCCTTTATGGATATAGAAAGCATAGATAGGGCAGAGAGATTTGGGAACCATGGCCAAGAGAGAAGGAGCTTTGGGTATAGGAATGTCTAGTACCTGTATTCTAAATTCTCCTTTGCTTGTTTCCTGACAAGCATCAATTGGAGAACATGTAGGCTAGACTCATAGTTTCTCTCAGAGGAATATCATCAATCCACCTCTTAAAACAAGCCTCAACTCATAGCTGTGTTTGCCAGGTTGCAATTTATCAGAAAAGTGGATTCTGTTTGCTGGTACTATTCTAGAGCCATGGAAAAAAAAAAAAGTCCAGTTGAAAAGAAATAGCACCATTTGTCCACAAGGTGGAGCCTGATTCCTTTGTTCTCTTAATACATCTCTTCCATGCTTTAAAAAATGCTGTTAGTTTGGTTGAAAAATCCAGCCAGGTGAATATGCATTCTTCAAAGCATTTTGTTATGTGATCTGCAAAATGGTGATTGAAAATGGAGTGAGGATTGGCCTTCTACTTCCCCCCCCCCCCCCCCGCCGTCTTTGTGAATAAGGGCTTGTGTGTTGAGAAATACACCAGGTTTCAGATGGCCAGGCTCCCTGTGATAGGACCTCATGCATCATGCAAATTTGTAAGGTCTATAGTTCCCACTCAACAGACCCTGTGGCTGCTGTATGACTTACCTCCATTTCCCTGCCAGTAATGGGACTCCAACTCCTTCCTTAATCTTCACCATTACAGGGTCTGCTTTACCAGTTGGACCTCTGTAATTTCCAGGCCAACAGTCTTATCCTTCCTCCTTTTCTCCCTCAGAAAGCCAGACCTGGCCTCTCTATTAATAGATAGAATAGGCAGTGGCTACATGTTATATATGACTTAAAGACACCTTCCCCACCAAATCTCTCTCTCCTACAGATGCCTTAAAATCTGAAATTCCTACCTGTGATAGGGTGAAGGATGCTGGGTCATCTCTGACAGGTTACTAAGACAAACCATGTAAACTCAGTTTCCTGAAAATAAATTTATCAATGAAAATAATAATAATAATTTACAAAATAAAAAAAATAATAAGGGGCATCGTGATATAATAGAGAATGTATAGCTCTCCAAGAATAGAAGACACTGGCTCAAATTCTTTCCACCCTTAATTGCTGTGTGGCCATGAGCAAGTCACTGAAACTCTATGCCTCAGTGGCCTCACCTACAAAAAGGGGAAGCAATAGTAATTATAGTGCCTACCTCACAGAGTGGTTGGGAGGTTGAAATAGGAAAACTGATGGAAAATCACTTGCAAGCTTTAATGTTTTTGTGAATATCAGTTATTGTTAATTATACTTAGCTCACATTCAGGGCTTCGGGGAAGATGAAATAATATCATGAGATTTTATAGCTAGTAAGGTCTTAAGGCTATTTAGTCCAACCTCTTCATTTTACACTCGGAGAAACACATCCCGAGGTGAAATCAATGTCCAAAGTTCTTTCTACTATAGTGGATACAATTTAAAACAATTGTTAAATTGTCAAACATTACATCAACGTCACGAATTGGTCGTATTATTTAAAAGTTGGAAAGAACGTTAGAATTCATAGGATCAGAGATTTACATGTAGGAGTGGAAAGGACCTTGGAGGGCATTTAGTCCAACCACCTCATTTTACACAGGAGAAAAATAGATCCAGAGAGGACTTGTGACTTAATCAAAATTGTATAGATGGCTATGGACACACTTTACATTTTACCTCTATTCAGCTATGAAAGAACCAGCAGAGAGGCAGCAGTCAGAAACAGGAGGGGGAGGAAAAGGCCTAGATAATCCATAAACTGTATAATTATTCCTGAATAAACAGCAGTTGCCTGGAAAAAAAATACAAAACGGGGAATAGTTTCACTTTAGATAACACTTCATGTAGCTTACTTCTATGACCTGCTCGTTCTCGCTTTCTCTCTCTCTCTCTGCGTATATATACATGAATATATCCATATCTCTGTATATGTGAATATCTGTGATTAATGTGTTAAATAGGACTTCTATAGGACTCAAAAATGTCTGTACACTCTTATTATGTTAAAGGGGTGTGCTGGAGCTGGTACTTATTGGTGCAGAAGAGCTGATAGTTAAATTTTTAGTGTAAGCATTCCTTGGAAATAGGCAAAAGTTAGAAATCATAGCTTGGTTTATTATTTTGTTGATTGTCTAGATTTAAGAAAATGAATGAGAAAATGTTAATGATTCAGATTAAACTGAAAAAAAATGTGTCCTGTGTCTGCTGTCTGACTTATCTTCATTTCTCTGCCACTAAGGGGACTCCAACTCCTTCCCTAATCCTCACCATTACAGAGACTGCTTTACCAGTTGGTCTTCGGTAATTCCCCTCCCCCCAGGATATTGCTAACATCATTAAACATTTACCAACACACTCCTAAATACATTCCTCTAATCTCTTCCTACTTCCTTCCCCATTCCTATTGTGTGGGAATTGGGTGGGGATGGGGGGAGGGCATCTGTATCTTTATATAAAACTATATGCTAGCACTGCAAAATCTCAAGGACACTTCCTATCCAAGATGATCCTTTATCATTCTGTCCTTTCTGGAGAAAACTATTTTTCCTTCAGCTGTTTCTCAACTAATCTAATTTTCCATTGCCGTGGAATAGTTCTGATAGCATAGCCTATGCTAAGCAGCAGCCATTTCAGATAAAAAGACCATGTTAACAGTTTTTGAATTTGCCACTATAGTAGAAAGCCCTGGATTCAAACCATGTCTCCATTGTTCATGAGTGGTGGACTACAAGAAAGTCACTTAACTTCTCTGAGGCTTAGGATTCTCATCTATACAATAAAAATAATTATACTCATACTGTCTACCTCAGTACATTGTTGTGGAAAAAGAGCTTTGCAAATTAAAGAAAAAAAAGATTTAAAGGTGAGTTTATCATCTTTTGTATTTAGTATCATGTATCCTTTTTTTTTTTTTACAGAGACAGATATGTTTAAGCAGAATAAATCACTGCCTGCATGGGTTGCTTCATAAAGGGTCCCCATTCTTTCTCCACCAGTCTTTTGCTAATGCTCACAATTTCATTTATTGAACTTTTACATTAGTAAGTTATATTCGAATACTTCTAGAATAGATAATAAATGGTGTTGGTATCAGTCTTTGACATCTTATTATGAATGCATTTCTCAGGGCATTTTCACTCTGTTTTTGATAAGAGTAGGTGAAAAAACCACAAGGATAGTTGGGTGCTACAGGTGGAAAAGAGACCCTATGACTAGAAGAAGAGTTCAAAAAGGAGAGCTGAAGAATAATGGTATGAAGACAAAATTCACCTCTTTTATAATTTTGCCTCAATGCAACCATGCATAGAGATGATGGCAATGTTGGTTATATTTTTTCAAACAACAACAATAGGCATTTTAAGAAAAGGTCTTTAGGTTACAAATGTGTGTTCCTCATTCCAAGTATATCCATAGTCTTATTCTACTTGGACTGGTAGTATAGAACTAGGACCAAGGGACAGAAATTATAGAGAGGTAAATTTTTCCCTCTATGTAATGAAGACATGACCGACAACACTGCAATGTGTTAGGTGGGTCCTCATCACTGAATGACTTTAATCTAAGTTTGAAGAGTCATTTACTAGGTATGTTACAGAGGGGAGCCATGAAGCAGGTAGAGCTTAGATTAAATGACTCTCAAGTTTCCTTATAATTTAACAATAATAAAACAAGCATTTACTAGGTATCATCTATGCACAGGATACTGTGCTAGGTACTGAGAGAGATAAGATAATGAAGTAAGATACATTTTTTCCCCTCAAGATGCTTATAGTCCCATGATTCCACTCAAAGAATCCAAACAACCTGAAAAGCCACATTATCTAGAGTTAAATTATGCTCTGAGGTCTGCTGTAGGATTAACTTATTTAATGGTCTATCATTCTTTATGCTAACTTGGTAATCCTAAGTGGTTTAAGGAAATCATTGTTTCTGCTACCTCCTTTGGAAATTATTCAATAATATAGTGTGATAGATTTATGTTCAAGAAGTATCTTCACCCTCAAGTCTTAAACTTAATTTCAGCCTATTTTGTCCTCATTAAAAGCCTTTTAAGTGCAATGCAAAGAAATTTTTCTTTTCTTTGTGTTTACCACTTTTTGATGTTTATAGAAGAATGAGAGAGAATTTATAAAAAAAAAGGCAAACTTTTCAGTATAGATCTCTCTGGGGATCTTATAGACGTTGCAATTCTCTTGGTTGTATAGTTGGTAGTCAGATTAAGTGGTGAAGCCATGGGTATCATTGAGAATTTTTTATGAATAATGACATAGAATAAGAAATGAATATTTGGTTGTGAATTAGGGGGAAAAAACAAACTTTAATCCAAAGTTTTTGATCCAAAAACTCTTTCAGATTTCCCAAAAGAACAAAACTTCATGATCAATCTTCAGAAAGCACCTTTCAGCAAATCACTAATTAGCATTAAGGTACCATAGGAATTCATAGACAAGCATAAGCTTGTCCAAGTCTGGAATGATAGTGAAGATGAAGTAGAGAGTTACTTTCAATGATTCTAAAAATAAACATAATAAACTCAATAGTCTAAACAGTTAGGAATATTCAAAGTAAACCATTTAGAGTAGTAGGACATCCCTCAAATTGAGACACCCAAAAAGTATGATGCTTTTTTTTTGCTTGATTGTTTTAATTTTAGGGTTTTATTTTTCCTGTACTTGTCTCTATTTTGAAGTTATCCTGGGACAGATCTTTAAGTGGGAAGTAGAGAAGGGAAAATGGAGGTAAAGAGATGAGAAGTGAGAAAGAAGTTCAAACTCGCCAGGCCCTATTAATTAAAATGATTATTGAAAAATATTGACAAATAGGAGAGATGCTGCAGAACTCAACTCAAGCAAATGTTATCTTGATTTGCAGGTGGACTGAAGACAATCCATGAGCTAATGAGCTTAACTTAATGCTTGGAAAAATTCTAGAACATATTGATAAAGGAGTGGTCTATAAGCAGTTAGAAAGGGAAGTATTAGTCTCTTTGAGCCAGTATTGGTTTATCAAGGACATGTGACAAAAGATAAAAATACTTTCCATTTTTGTAAGGATAACTAGATTTGTAAGGGGAATGCTATAGATATATGGATATACATGGGTTTCAGATACATAGATATTTAATGTTGTACCTCATGACGTTCCTGTGATGGAGATATATGATAAGGCTAAATGGAATTAGAGCCAGTCAAATGACTGTATCTAGTCATAGATATGGCTATATCCATGAAGTTGTGATATAAAAGCCATATGAACTCTAAGAGAAGGCATAGGATGAAAACTGGAAGGGACCTGAGAAAATATCTATGCTGCCTTTCCCACTCCATCTTACAAATGAGAAAACTGAGATTTAGGGAGGTTAAGTGAATTGCTCAAGGTCTCATTACTATTTAAGAAGTAGACGCATGATTAGAATCCAGGTACTACAAAACCAGCCTCTGAGTTTGTTCCATTATACCATACTGGTTTCCCAATAAATCTTTGGTGGAGTAGTACTGGTCATTGCATTCTTATCAAAGTCTTTGATGAAGGCATAGGTGATATGCTTAGTAAGTCTGCCACATGAAAGAGGGAAAGATCGAGCACATGTCAGATGACAGACATCATCAAAGGTTGGAAAGCCACTTTAGGGGTAGTTACAGAGGGAATTCCTACTTACATATGAATCAGGCATGCTGAGATTCTGGTTCTGTGTCTCTGTGTTTTTCATATTCCCATAAGCTGATCTCACTCCAGCCCAGCCTAAACCCCCTTC